GGCCGGCCGTAACGCGGCGCTCGATCGATCCCACCAGTATTGATCGTGACGAGTTGAGCGAGTCGTGACGGGGTGCAGGATTGATCGTGACGCGTGACAATTGATCGTGACGAGTTGAACGGATCCACCGCAGTGCCATTCGATCACCAGTTGGAGCAGCGGTATGCACCTGGGACACGGTATGCACCAACTCCCATCGCTCTGGTACCGCAATGGAGCGCTGCAGCAATCCAGTGTGGGACAACCTAGTTCCCGAAAGGTCCGGCAAGTCAATCAACTGAATCGAATGATTAGCATAGTGCCTTGACGCCGAGTTTGCACCTCAACTCAGCACCCGCGCCCAGTCACCGCACCTGCTGACTATCCCGCTAGTCAGGCAGCTGCAGCCCCGCTAACAGCCTACTGATTCATCCCGGCACTGGGATGGCCCACCCTGCGGCTGAGACACGATACAACTATGACCCAGCCTCGCTGCTGAGACCAGCACTGGGAGACGGTGCTCTGCCGTTGCGGTCCGTCTCTCCGGTCCAAAGCACAGCGTCACGCGCCGCCCCGGCCACAATGGCACAGAGAGTCGGACGGTCGGGACGGGGTGGGCGGCACTGTGGCCTGTGGGGCTTTGGGCGGCATGCCGGTGCGGAGAAAGGCATGCATTTTATAAAATACAAAAAAAGACTGATAAGACAACACGAACATGGGCGACGAATTTGACGACGAAGTCTTTTACCCCACCAACTAGTCAGTATCGAAAATTTGCAAATTCATATCACTGCCATGCCCAGGCTGCTTTCGCGCGGTTGACTTTCGTTAGTCTTCATGTCTCCGGTCTCGAGATACCTTCCAATTAGTTTCACATCGCTCGTTCCGCGGTCCATGGTGATGGAAGGTAAGGGACCGGCACGACGAACGCTAACGAGCCTATACACCGGATGAAGGGCGGTGTGTCAGACTGACGAGACATGGGGATCGAAGGAGGTCGAAACGAATGGTGACTGATACAGATACTAAATAGATGAACCGAGACGACCGCGGACACAACAAAGCCTCAGACCGGATGGAGACCGACACACGACGAGAGACGGAGACAGACGCAACTGCGACGTGTCAAGGTGGTTGGTAGTTTACTGCAGCGGAAGGCAAACTTAAAATAATAAATGCGCACAATACTGAAGGTTAAAAATTGCTCTTCCATTCCATTGGGTGAAGAGCCAAGGCAACAATGGAATCAAGGCAGAACCCAAAGCTTCCAAAGTCGAATGAAATGAACGTAACTGATCGTTCGTAACTTTGCAAAACTCCATGTTCGTACTCCGGATGAATGTCGAAGACCTTCAAGTCAGGTCTGAAATGTCACAAGTCGGAAATTAAACCCGATTAGATCACCGCAAGACGTCACGCCCCACCAAAGGTTCCGACATTCATAAGAAACCAGAACCTACTCGCGACATTTACTCAGAAAGGCTAATGAACGATTGCAGCAGCCTGGATCTTCACGGACCCTGGGACCATCCAGTGAACCCAAGCGTTGTTAGGTGATTTTCTACGCAGCGATGAGCATCACATCATCAACTGTAGCACATTGGCTTAGAGAGTTGTACCATGGATGATATGTCATCCATGGTTGTACTAAGTCTCGCGTCGGAGTTCGCCAAGCGAAGGAGGAAAAAGGGCGGTTCATTCAGTCGTCCAATCGCAGTATATATCGATCGTAAACGGAGTTCACCTCAGGTGACAGACGCACCGCCAAACTCAATTAGTATGAAGAACTTCTAAGGCCTAAAAATGATCTTCAGAATATCGAGAAGTCCCAGTTAAGTAAACTCATAATTCTTAATTCTGAAGATTTTGAGCGAGATCTCCATTCTAACTGATTGCTACATTTTGGATGTCATTCTTGTCAAGCATATTTATGAAGAGACCCCCGACGCCGATCGCCACCAACAATGATCTCGGGTAGACCGAAGCAGCCCAAACTAAAAAGCATGCAGTCATGTCGGGCTGCGTGCGAAGCTGTGCGGTATCGGGACGAGCCTGGGGCGACTCTGCCTTACCGTAATAGCCTGATCGGCGCTTCTGCTGGCTGGCTGGAGAGGAACTAACAGCTCAGCGACGGGGTTATCAGGGCATGACGGGTGTAACACCGGGGCGTACCATTTACACTACACACCAGCTACTGTTAACGCCAGACGCCTTGAGACCCTAATTTTTCGCGATCATTTTAAAATGCGTGGAATAATTTCAACCATATTTAGGAAATAGCTGTTTCAAGACCTGCCGAAACTTTTTCTTCAAATACATTTTGTTGTCACTTAAATATTTGCGGCACTTGTCATTGACTCGTAATGTTAACTGTTTTTCCATCCTGGATAGAGGCTTTCATACGTCATATGACATTAGGCTCCGCCCACGACTGCGGCATTGACCCGTGCCCATCAGCGACCTCTGTACAAACGACAACCCTGCCATCTGTAAAGGACTATGAATTTCGCTGATGTTTCACGTGCTATGAATCAATTGCAGCAGACCGTCAAGTAAATGTTAGGCTCTTGTTGACTCTTGTAGGTAGGTATATGGGACCAAGAGGACCATCACTCCTCAATCTACTACTCACACATGCTTCGAAAAAACGTTAACGATTGCTAACAAATACGATCTTCGATGTAGGATATCTGTTTGGTGAAATACGAGCGAGCCTTATGATGTGAAGCGAAGGCAATTAGCTAATTATTGCGCTAGTCGATGGCTGCATAGCGATGTACAAATCAGGAGCTACTTGATGACATCCGACATCCCATTATCGCATTATCTGCAACGCCATAGGCTTTAAATACAGGTGAATATTTCCTAACCTTATGTCAGTTATATGCCATCTGCCCGTCATTTGCAGCTTATAAAAAATAAAACATATCAGCGAACATATCAGCATTGTACATACAAGCAATGCGCATTGAGCATTTATGGCTCCTCAGTCATCATGCCGCTCTTTGGGCACTGTCAGACAAGACGTTACGCACAACTCCGCCGGCTTTCGGCACAGCTCGACCGTCCCCGCTCCCCGCCACAGCGCGAGTGACCGCGCGCCGGCCCGAAACCGCCGCAGGCCAAGACCACAGAGGCGGGGCTTAGCTGTGACGTCATAACGTATCACAGACTGACTGGTGATAGCCTCTACACGCCGGGTGAAAATCTTGCTCGAAATTTAACATTACGAGTCAATGAGAAGTGCCTGAAATATTGAAATGGCGACAAAATATCTAAATTGTAAAAGTTTCGGCAGGTCTTGAAACGGCCATGTCCTGAGCTTGGTTGAAATTCTTCCATGCATTTAAAAATAATCGCGAAAAATTAGGGTCTCAAGAGGTCTGGCGTTAACAGTAGTGTAGGTGGATCTATGTTGCTATAGTCTGTTTTTCGTATCTTCTACCTTCACTCAAAGACGGTAAACTCTCTAATCACGTGCTCCAGCGAACATCTAATTAAATCAACACCGCTGCAAAGTCAATTTTTATCTCGAACGCAAGATCGAACGTCTGTCCCCTTGGCCTATCTCGTTAATCAAAATGCAATGTTCTTTGTCAAGTGAAATGCATTTGCATAAAACGTGTCATCATATTTTCATTCTGGCAAAATTATCCCTTTCTAATTTCATTATGTTTTCAAACAACAGAAGGGCAATGGCCTTGGTCTCAGACAAGACAAAATGATCGTAACGTTTTCTTTCAACGTTTCAAAGCAAAAGAAATGTGGGTTAGGTGACTGAAATAAGGCGGTGAAGAAGGAGCACAACCAACGAATATCGCCAGAATAACGAACTTACTTCCTTGGATACCAGAAAGAAAAGTGTTGAAGGCGCGGAGATACACCGACGGTGGTGGGACAGCTCAACTCCGTCGTGCTTTCAGCGCAATATAATACGAAAAATGGTGTTATTGTTGTTATTACCTGCAGTTGTGTATCATAATATAAGCCCTAAGGCGTTGGTGATTGCCAGTGGTCAAAAAGTCATATCAGATGATAAAGATCACCAGCAGCTTTCGACAATACCTAATAGCTGCTAGAACTAAAAATGTTTCGACGGCGCTGTAGTTCAATCGGTTGACAAGGTTTGGTCATGATTTGTCCAAACATGTTGAGCTCGGGAGTTTTTTTTTTAATTTATGACCTTCAGTGGCCTTCACCATTGACCTCAGCAAAATGCGGTATATACTATATACGTATACTGCTGAAAGTAATTGTTGAGAGCTATCGATTCTTGCCCGCGTCTTCGCATCTTTTTTACTTTTCGGGATGATCGCGTGAGGCAGATAGGAAAACTGTAAGATGAAGCAAATCTGCCTGGGGACCACCAAGCGGGCGTGGGCTAAGACAATTTTGTTATTCGTCGGTGTAAAAGTTATTGCAACGTAAATAAAGCAAAACATAAAGCATTTGAAAAAATATGGCAGAACATAAAACACATTTAGCTTCTTTTACCCAATGGAAAGGAAGTGCAAGCTTTAAACTTTTCTTTATGTTCTTAGCAAGAGCGCTTCGCACAATGCAAGTACCTATGAACAGCAAAACGTCCTTGTGTATAGGTCGGTAGTCAGTACCAATAAACCGTGGTAACGATAATACAAGCGATACTCTAGCTTAAAGGTTTCTTTTCCGACTTTATCTGCGCAGCGAAGGCGAGCTTCAACACAAGCAACAAACTCTTGCAATGAGTGGTGGGCCATGCGGTCAAGATTTGAAAACTATACCCAAAAAAACGTGCTGGAGGGGCAAAACATCTTTGAGTGAAGGTAGAAGATACAAAAAACAGACTTTTTTATAATGATGAGTACTTTGAATTTAATAATATCACTGATCTCCGAAGAAAATAACGTCTGTTTAACTACATAATGGAGGAGGTTTGTAAAAAGGCTTCTCTAACTCTGCAAGGGAAGTGTAGCCCTGACTAAATGTGGTGATAATTACTGAGTGTTTGGGCACCCGCTGCTTGATCAGTCGGGACCTACCTCCCATGTCCTTGAGTTTCTTGGCATACAGTTTCAGCTGCTTCTTGTACTTTTTCACCTGTTCAGCGAGGTTGTCAATCTTCTCGCGTAGATCCTGAAAAGAAAATAGAAAAACACGTCAGTATGATCTACGATTACTATCCACCTCTGCTAGCCCCAATAGTCAGTGGCCAATCCCGCACACACAGCCAGAAACAAACCAGTCCTCGACGGCAGCCCACCCACCACCTGAACCTGCTCAGGACTAACTCAGAATTCTAAGGCAGCCTTCGGGCGACCCGGCCACGCCCGTAACCGTCCTAACCCATCCCCAAGGCAGGCACGCGGTCCGTGACCCGACCGGATGCGTGTCTCGGTAGACCGACAGGCTGACAGGGCGTCTGAGGACGGGAGGGTAGGATCTAAGGAGCCGGAGTCATTAGAGACTGGTACCGTGGGGCGACGGTAGTAAGGTGTGGGAGACAACGCTGATTGCTGAAGGATAGGAGACATTTGATACGTGGAATTTGATAAATGGTTTGTCACGCATCTTTATACAGGAGTGAGGCCTGGCTACCGCTAATAAGCATACTGAGAGCTTCCAAGGGCGAAAGCACGACTCGGGTGTCGTAGACATTTGTGAGCTTGGGTGGCACACGAATGGCATATGAATTTAATAAAATATCTAGGTGCATTGTGCACGCTGTAAGTGATCACATTTTGCAACAATATCCGCCTCTATTTATGCAACGACGTGCCGAGGTTGAAAACTGTTAGAGTGCTTTACGATGAGTATATCGTGTCAGCCCCTCAGTAAACCACCACACTATCAAGTGAGTTGTTGAGTTGAAAGCCGTCGCGATAGCATACCACAGGCATGAACAATGAATGCACCCTAAGCTGGCCATGATAAAATATAACACGAGAAGAATTAGACACCAAACACGAGGAGAATTTGACACCACTCATTGAAACAAACAATTTCACACGTCGACTATCATCCCGCTCGCCACAAGAGCAAAACTGGCTACATTTATCCATCAGCATATCATTGTCAGCTGGGACTACGGGTCTGCCTGTCAGGGTCGGTTGACGCCGGGTGCGGGGAGTGAATGTAGCGTGCTACCGTGCAGGAGGGTGGGGGTCGTCACCGGGGCCGGGCGGGATGCCCTCACGTCACGGTCGGCGCGACGCTGTACCCATCCCAACTCAGAGTAGCGCTAAAATCCGAGCTAACGAATGCAGAGCGGCTAGAGCTCTGTATTCGTACAGCGCTCTATAATGAGGTATCAAACTCATTATAATGCTTTTCGGTGTCGATGATCAGCCTGCCTATCCAGCAGAGTTATGCGAGTCTCAGTGGGTCGCACTCGTGAGTTCCCCTGAGTATGATCAGTAATCGCCACGCAATTTGAAAGGTGGATCGCTCTTAAATATACAATACAATACAATGCAATACAATATCACTGACCAGGTTCTCAGCCGTGAGCCGGGTGATCTCGTGCTGCATAATGGCCTCGTTCTGGCCGGTGTGCGCGCTGCCCAGGTTCTGGCTGATGAGCTTCTGCTGGCGCTCGTTGTCCGCCTTGAGTTGCGTCATTTCTTGGCGGTACTCAGCTTCCATCTGCAGAAGACGCACCCGCTCCTCCTTTTCCAGGTGCAGCTCTTCTGCCAGCTGCCTGTGGACACGCAGACACAGGAGCTGTGTCAGATGGGTGGTGAATACAACGGGGCGGCTGGACGGAGCAGACACATGTCGAGATACATACACGGGCTGGGTCGGGCGAGTGGAGTTGTCACGCTTGGGACAAGTGGACAGAGGCGCGTGTCTAAGATGTAAAACACGCACAGGACAATTCACGCCCGCTGGACGGAACTCATTTACATTTTATCAGCAGTCATACATACAAACGAGCAGAGCAACAGAAGTCGACTATAAGATTGCAAACAGCCAGGCCAGATAAGCATCTTAGGGCATGTCTCCATATCCAGTTAAAGAATACACTCGACAGCATGTCTGTCAGAATAATAACAATAGATTGTTAACACAGATAAAGGGGGAGCTACAAATGCTGTTGGTTTCGAAACCACAAACAGAACATCCAAGATCAACATTAAGTCTATTGATTGACACTGAGAATCCCTAGATCAGTTTTGTTGAGAACGAGAAAGGGAGAACAAACCAGTTCCCCCGGTCCTCGTGCCTTTTCCCGATAAATCACCGCGTCAGATATAAAAGCGCACGGTCAACGGAGCAGACCGATGAAACGGCTCAGAGAAGCCTCAGAAACACAAACGAACCGTCAAAGGCGACTCAGAGTGACCGACTGACTAGCCGGGAGGTACCGCCCGCCACCCACACCTGTTGAATGTCCACGTGTCGTCCGTCGTAAACCGCGGAAGATAGGGAACTGATATCGAAAGTAAATATAACGGAAAGTAAAGGAAAAATATTACAAGACAAATAGTGATAAGAAATTACTTGTCCAACATTCAAAACACATTCCTCATATCAATCCAGCGCTGTTGCACGTTGGGACCCAGGAAATGAGGAAGAGATAAATGTACTATAAGGAAAAAGACTTATTCAATATTAGCAGCAAGAGATGTACAACTAGAGGTGCATCTCTGTCCGTCAATTCAATCATCGCCCACTCACCATGTATTTTCCGTGCTCTGGGCTACTCAGCGCGTATAACAGCGCGTATAATCATCAGCGATCACCCAAACTCCCGTTCACACCATTCACGGCACCCACCGCACTGATCACACCGCCGCCGCCGTCACTATCCGGCACCATTCTTCCCCGTTGGCACTGCACACCGGTCGGCGATCGGCCTCCCGCCCGCCCCGGACCGGCTTTCCTAGCGGACGGCGCGTCTCCAAGTCACGACGATCGCCGCTGACCGGCCGGCCGGCCGCCGCTGCACTATCAACTGACGCGCCGCCACCGGACCGGGCCTTACCGGGCAGACAGCGGACGGCGGGCGGAGGGCGGAGGGCGGCGGAGGGCGGCAAGGTCAGCGGTCAGCGGTCAGCGGCCGCCGCCGCCGCCGCCGCCGCCCAGCTGACAGCGCGGCCGCCGCGGTCGCAGTGACCGCAGTCATCTGTCCGTGCACGCCGCGGAAATAAACGCCCCCGTGTAGTCACGCGAGCTCTGTGCTCGTTGTGAAAGCGAGAGGGAGCAGACTTGGGATGAATATCACGTTTTTCCGGGATGTTCGAGTTCCTTGTCAGTTCAAAGGTTATGAGAAAATAATTATGCAAGGATCTGATCCTCCGGGCAGGTACCTTGATGGTAAATAAATACCACCGTCAGATTCAGTCAGATTTAGTACTCGAGCTGGCGTCACAGCTTACGGCCCGCGACGTAACTGCGAGTTGTTAATCAGATGCAGTGTGTGAGTTGAATGGCAAATACCGGTAGCGATACACCAGACAAAAACAAGAGGCCGATTGCATAAGGAGCTTCTAATTCTACAGACGGCGCCGATCCTAAACAACGGAATTGGGTTAATTTAGACTGATCCAGCACGCCACTGTTGTCACGCGACGCCATTCAGAATTATCGTGGCTGGGCCGCGGGCTCTTCGGCCAGAATAACAGAACACATTCACGGCTCACCGCTATACAACCAATCCAACTTTCCTCCCAGCCAACACATCTAAACCAATCGGCCGGCGGTCGACACCTACGTTCCCTCGGCGGCCCCTTTGAGGCCCATTAGGGAAAGTGATTAGCCAGCTGGGACAATGGCGTGCGGCCGATAGTACCGGCCTGGTCAAATGACTGGATGCTGCGCGGTCCGGACCATCCCACGGTGCGGACGAACGCGGTTCAGGACGGCCTTGAGACACACTCGTCGGTCGTCAGTGACAGAGATCGCACCCGGGGCCGCCCGCCGGGCATACGCCGGTCCCAGAATGTCGCGGCAGTTTCGGACGTACGGATGTCACGGTGTGTGAAAATTGGCGATGACTGCTGTAACAGGAAGAGTTACAGCAGAGGATAGGATGTAAAAAGGAATCATACTCTCTGGCTCACGCACTTCCGTGCTTATCTATGTAAATTTATAGTGAATTAAATTTAGAACACATTTTAACTTCTCTTTTTCTCCAATCATTCATCAATTTTCTAAAGGATGCTACTCGCTTAGGTTTCCTGGGTTTGCGGTTTATCTTCCTCTTCATATACCCAATCAGCTGTGACCGTTAGCTATACATAAGCGTGACTTGAATTGCAATGAATGCAAAACATAAACATTTGGACTGCATATGGCGCCAAAGAGTTCAAACGACCAAACTACATTTGCTAAGGGTTATCAGTCTCGACCTGCCGTGGGTTTCTTTGACGGGAATATATTTAACCTGAAAAACCCTCCTTCCAACAGAAACATTTCTGCACAGTGCCGAATGGAGCGTGGGCGATAAAAAGAAACTAAAAAATAGACGTTTTGTTCCGAAAAACACGATGCCTTCTATTGAAGGATTAAATATAAAACGGGTCCTCTGCACCCTCTCAAACACGTTCACATCTGGGTGGCAGAGTTTTCCCGTAGAATTAAGCACATCCCAAAGCTTACCTACCGTAATTAACACAAGGGTTAGACAATTATCTAGCGGGACACAGCATCACTGAACGACGTTTACATGCCAAATATTACCGTCCAAGGTTAGAGAACATGCCATTTGTGTTATACAAGACCGCGACTGGAAATATATCGTCCTTATCGAAGTGGTAAAAGGACCTTTATTTGCTGGTTTAAGTTGTGCCTCGATAGCAGAAGCACAGTCCTCATTATACCACCTCGGTGTATTTTACCGGACAGCCAATCTGACGACCGACTCGAAGAGAGTAATATCTCCTGGCCTGGTCCTTCAATCTAAAGCTGATGAAATTATTCAAGCACAAGAAGATCTTGGTCAAACATTGTTCATTTAAGACTTACTCAAAAGTTATTTTACCATTTCTTCGCAATCAAGCCAATTATAATTTCCCAACACCTTAGTACCCGCTCTTGCATGAAATTAACATGAGCTAAAAAATGCCAGGAGAACATTATGGGTCAAGCTCTGGGCGCGGCGCCGAGACAGTCCAGCACATGGCTTCCAACATGGAAGACTGCCACTATCGGTGTCAGGAAGGTAGACGACCGTCAGTTTAGTCTGCAGGAGCAGCCAGCAGGCCGTACTTATGTGGAAACTCGTTCAGTTCACGGCCATTTCTGAATCCCGAAACAGTCGCTGTTGTCATGTGTCTCCGCCTTCCAATCACACTGTTCCGCTGATCTGCCCATCAGCCTCTTCAATCTATCAGCCAGTTGGTCCATTTCCTTATCTCATTCCTTTCCACGACACTTATCCGTTGATCCATTTGGCAGCAACACTCCTCCCCACACTCCAATTGCTGCTCAAATCTCGCAAGCAGTAAGCACGTCCTCTCCCGGCCACCTTCTCCCCTACCCGTTGATCTATTTTCCGTCCCCGCTCCTGTCCACTCACCTGTTGATCTGTTTCTGCGTCTCGAAGGCCATGAGCACCTCTCCCTCCTCGCTGGTATCGCGGTCCTCGAGACTGCGCATCGGCCAGCTGGCGTTATTGGCGATCACCGTTCTCAGCTGGATACACTCCTCACGGCGACGCTCCAGCTCGTCCTGGCGGAAAGGCACGGGGAATGGTCACAACGGCGGCACGTGAACCTACATGACGCTTCTGTTCGGACATAGTTACAATGGCCGTGCAAGAAAGGGTGTCGGAGACGGAGCCACACATTTTGCCTAGGCTCGGAGCCCAAGGAGGCACTTCCTTGAAACCGGAGCCGTCCAAAATCTTACAGCTCGGCATTCCCTCTGACAAATTTTTAGTGATGTTTCAAAATACCAGTAGGGTCCTAAAAAAGATGTTTTTCATCCAAGACGCCAAAGTTTTACCATCAAACGCCGATACGATTATAGCTCACCCTATCCTACGTACCTGTAGCGCGTGGAACTGCAGCATGAGGTCGTTGCCGGGGTCGTCGCCGCTCCCGGAGGCGATGCTCTGACGCAGCTTCTGCAGGTCCGCCTTCAGCTTGGCGTTCTCCATCTCCAGGTCCTGGAGCTGAGGAGCGGAACACAAAGCGGTTAGATGGGTAGCCAAGAAGAGTAACATGTGAACCGATAGCAACGGGATTATCAATCATTCCAGCGAAATAAAGTCAACACGAAAGAATTTTGGATGAAAGAATTTTGGTTCGCTGGATGTTACTAATTTTTAGATTTTGCCATAAATAAGCGCATTTCTTTTTTTTTACTAATCAAGATTCATAATTACCAGATTCCAAGTTCAAAAGTCTTACATTGTCATCGGCTTTTTATATCGTGATCCACCTCATCATTCGTTCTCTTATCCGACACCTGCACGCAATTTTAGCAGCCTGAGTCAGTGCCAAGGAAGCTTGAACTGTGCTCGTTGGGCTTCCACGCTGGTAAAAACATGAGCCCCCGAGTACGCCACAGCGGACAGGCCCCGGAATGCACGCTGCAGTTGCCACCGTGCGAACACCCAGGGGTCAATGGGAGATCACGGTCGTGAAGCCCTCACAGCCACTTAGCGGCTAACCACGGACATATAAACGGTGGGAAAATGCGAAGGCGATAATTCACTTGCAAGGAAGCGTAAAAATAGCTCCGTCAAGCTACGGCAAAGCAGATGCTACGCGCTGCTTCATGGCCATTTGCTCTTTGTCGACACTAGCTATGACTTTGCAAAGAGCTAAATTACTCCGTGTCACATTTTTTTTTTTTATATAAAAGTCATTACAAATATCGCGCAGCCAAAGTAAAAGAAAACTATGGCTGCTAGAAACCAACAAGCCCACAATGCGCTCAACATTCACCACTGGGTTACGTCGACCAGCTCAGCCCTCACAAATAAAGCGCCACCTAGCACTCCAGCGGCCCGTCCTCAGTCACTTCCCACCTCCCCACCCCCCACCGACTACTCACCCGGATCTGATCATGGGCCTGTTTGTTCTCGCTATCGGGCGTGCCCTGTTCGAGCCGCTCCAGACGGCGCTCCAGCCGGTCCCGGTCGGCCTCCACCTCCTTCAGCTTCTGCTGCAGCTTCAGAACCAGGTTCACGTCTGGAGACGGCAGCGGCTGCGGCATGGGAGGCCGGGAAGCAGACCGTGAGGCGGGGGTGCGAGTAGGCGCGGGTGTGGAATGGGCTAGCGGTACGCCAGACAACTCTCAGACTCTAAGACTATAAATGGCATGCTCCGAGACAAGCGGTCAAACCAAAATCGATCTTACTCTGATCAGGAATAAAAACTTCACAATCTAAGACCGTCCTACAGCCTACGGATTTAGCATTTAGCACTTCGCACACCCGACTGCCACTCTGACAAGTCGCGCCAGCGTAACAGACCGCCCTTATCGCTCACCTTCCTCTCGGGTACCACAATAGTCTTGTCGAGGTCCGGGTTGCCGTTCTGCTTACTCCAGTCGATGTTTTCCAGGTTACGCTCGGGCTGATCACTGGTGCGGGACCGGACTGAGCCGTAGCCGATATCCTGCCCGATAGACTGCACTCGTTAGAAGCACGAAATTAAATACGTGAACAGCGCGCACAACGGACAGGGCTGTGTGTGTCTCTGGCGAAAGGGAAGGGCTGACACGGCTCATCTCCTGATACCATTAGTTCTTTGTGATACATTCTTCTATAGGAGGCGCTGCAGTGAGAGAACGTAGAGACAGTATCCGCCTGAGACAGTGTCCTCAGTGTCACACTTAAGGTGGCCGTCCACTGGTTAGGCGTGTATTCAGCGCGCAATCGTTCAGCGCCTAGCGCGCGCTGAAAAGTTCAATTATTTCAACTCGTCAGCGCGTAATTCGGCGCCGAGCAGCCGACGAATTATCAGCTGACTGCGCTTCATCACGCATTCGGCGCTGAACCGCAGTCAGCGCGCAGCCCACAGGCTCCAATGTTAAATTCAGCGCGTAAATGTGCGCGCCTAAACAGTGGACGGCGGCCTTTAGAAGTTAGAACACCGGTGTCCCTGGTTCGCTAAGCCAACCACCACTTACACTAAGCTCGTCGTGCAGGTCGGAGGTGATGCTGGGCAGGTCGGAGATATCGTCCCGCGCCGCCTCTGTGGTCGCCTCGCTGGCACCGCTCACATTGCTCGAGGACCTCTGAGAGACGGACAGACACATCGGTCAGTGGGAGAGTAACAGAGCGGTAGAGACGGCGTCCAGCGTGTCGACAACTCGGTCAGGGATCTTATGAACATCGGAAATCTAACGAACCTTACCTGACTAGGGTGTGAATGTCCTACGCAATTCAGCTGTGTAAAGCACACTATTCTTTTTCGGTAATACAAGACCCAAATAATGCCAATGCCAGGCACCTCACGCTCCAGCGTATCCCCACCGCTCCCATTCACCTTAGCATCCCCTACCCCTCCCCAGTTCACCGCCCTCCCGGCCTGACGGCCCACCTTGTGCGTTTTGCCGCCGCGCGCTCGCTGCAGCTCCTTCTCCAGGGTCTCGTTGCGCTGCTCCAGTCGGGCGTTCTCCTGCACAAGACGCTGGTAGGCCATCCGCTCCTGGTCATACTCGGCGTTCAGCGCGCTCTTCTCCAGGTTCACCTTGGTCTTTAGCAGCTCTGAATAGGAGATACGGACGACAGGGTAGAGGTAGAGCTTACGGCTAAAGCCCAGTCATCTAATGCGAGTTTAAGACTACAATTATGGATCGAATCGAATGCGAAAACCAAAGATAGGCAGCTAAACGTGTACTAGAAACAGAACATTGGGAAGCCCATTTTCAGTAAGGGCACTGAAAATTTTTAATTCACGTCTACACAAAATCGCAACGATTAGGCGCACCATACCGCTACATTTGACGGCTCAGCCGAGACCACGAACACGTTACAGAAACTTAGCACCGCATGGTAAGCCGCCGTACCTTTGGACTCGAGCTCCTGTTTCTGTTTCAGCTCCTCGTCGCGTATGATCTGCTGGCGCAGCTTCTCATTCTCCTCGTTCAGCTGCTGGATCCGGTCGCGACCCTCCTTCTCAATGCGGTCACGCTCGTTGACAAGATCGACCTGTCAGTAGAAGTTTAATGGTGTTATACACTCAATACAGGAACAAGCAGCCACGTGCCAGACAAGAGACTTCACTGAAGATTAGTCGATGCATTTCCTATCGTTTAATTTAATCATTTGGAGAAAATTGATGGAGGACGCTCTTGACCGGCCTGAGTCAAAGCTGGGTGGTCACAGTGACGAACTCTCTCTCTCTAACTCCCACCTGCCCTCTCCATTTGTCACTAACCCTCTCCTTCCAAACCTCTGCCTTTTCTGCGGGCACCGCATCTCCCCCTCCGCCACCCCGCACCCCACCTTTTCGCAGCGCTCCTGGTCGAGCTGCTGTCTGAGTTGCGCCAGCTCGGCCTCCAGCTCTGCCAGCCGGCCGGTCTGACGGCGCAGCTCGGCCGCCTCCGTCTTCAGTTTCCGGTGGTCGGCGGTCAGCTGGTCGAACTCGGCCTGACGCTGCTTCAGGCCGCTGTGCTCCGACGACTGCGGACGGGGGAGGGAAGGGACTTAAAAAAAAAACGACCGGAGGAGAAGCAGAGATCGGCCCGACCAGAAGTGGCTATAAAACAAGTCGCCAAACACACAAATCACTGAAAAAAATATAAAGCAAACACACCTGAGTAGCATTAAAGAATGAACTGATTAACTTGTTTTATAAAAATGCCTCAACACATTCAACCTAACCCACCGAACTACCCAGAGCTGGGAACCACTGATAGATCGAGAACTGGCAGGAGTGCTCCGATCTCACCCCCAGCTGCCTCCCTTACCCGACAGTCCATTCCGTCGCCGTCTCACCCACCAGTTCGGTGATGCGCTGCTGCAGCGATATGATCTTGTTCTCCAGGCCCTTGTTGAGCTTCTTCTGGTGGTCGATGGAGCGCGCCTCGATCTTGAGCGACTTGAGCTGCCGCTTGGCGATCAGGCGGCGCACGCAGGACTGGAGCAGCACAATCTGGCGCTGGGTGCGCGCGTACCGGCGCCGGCACAACAGGCCGCGCACGTGACGCTGGATGACCACCGCCTGACCGGACAGGGAGACGGGTCAGAAGGGGCAGATGGACCGATAGAGGGGTGGGCAGGCCAGATAGACGTGGCTTGAAAGGGACGGCAGAGACGGCGATCCAGGGAAAGCATGTTGTTATTCTGTTGAACTAGCAATGATTCGCACTGAAACACACTGAAACACATTTATAGACATTTATAGTACCAAAAAACGCTTAATCAGTTTCATAATCATTGATATATAAATGTTTTTATAAATGTCTTTTTAGAAATTGATATATAAATGTTCAAATGTTCTTTTGACTTGCCTTGCAGACAAATGTGCCGTGCGTAAAAGTGTCTTGACGCTGCGTAGCCCAGTCCACACCTATTATCTTTCTGCATACCCCCCCCCCCCATACGCACAAAACATGCCTTCAAGCCAACCCCACTCATCTCACCGCGCGGTCCTGGCGCATCCTCTGGTAGCGCTGTCGGGCCCAGAGGCCGCGCGCGCGCGCCTGTAGTCCCAGCGCCAGCCGCTGGAGGCGCTGGTATCGGCGGCGCGCCACAAAACCGCGCGCCTGGCTCTGCAGCAGCACCGCAGCCGCCGTGCGCCGCAGGTGACGCACTCGCCTGCGGAGATTGAAAGTCGTTTAACAAATAATGCATAAATAAGGAATAGACGGTATCACATGTTGATCACGAGATAACTTCTTACAAAATACAAGACAGGTAAAATAAATCAATAACCCGTCATTTTCTATTGGGGTTTCAGGGCACGACGACTGAGCTGAGGTCATTTCGAGCCCCAGCTCAAGTTAACACAAATATCAAGCCTATGCCAAAAAGTAAGCAAAATATGAACATGTATTTCCAGCCTCAACCCAAGCGCAACACGCCGTGCTGAATTATGGCCGCCCAGAGCAGCACAGCTGGTTCAGCTGGTCCGCACACTAGAGCCGTGTCATAAATGGAACCAGCTAAAGCCAGCCGCCCGGGAGTCGGTCCAAATTAAAACCATCACCCCGATGAGGCCACATCTCCCTAAATAGCCGCAGGGAACGACCCAGATGGAGACTCATTCAGTTCGACACTGGGCCGTCCATTTCCCAGATTGGTGCAGCGGCGGCGAACCCGACCGGCCCGACTCAGGGGACCGGTCGTACAGGGCTGTCTGATCTGGGGTCACGGGGGACCCGGCACGGAACGACATGTGCGCATACGTCACCGGACCTTGTCGATGAGGGTTAGCATCTCACTATCAGGAAATAAGACACCTAGCACGATGTGCAGTGGGGTTAATATCTCCTCAAGGGAAGATACCTCAGATGCTGAGGTTGGTTTTGAGGCACCCTGACTGCGCAGTACGCACCCGGATGGTCGACGCCCTTAAAAGATGCTTTTGCGATTCTATGAAACATAGAACTGAACGAACTTAGCACTGCTATGCTCATTTGAACTTTGCTGACCCGCGTGCACCTCGCATCAGGTGACTCGTATTCAACCACCGTTGCCACCCGCCGCTCTCACCTCCGTGCCATGAAGCCTCGCACCCATCTCTGGAGCGTGCAGGTGGCGCCGCGCACCGTCTGGTAGCGCTTTCGCAGCAGCCAGCCGCGCACGTGCTTCTGGATCATGATGCCGCAGGCGCGCAGCCGGTCCCCTCTCAGCTTCTCCATGTAGGCGACCTGACCCGCGCGGAAGAAGATCTTGGTACGGCCGAACTTGAACTTGTCCTCATCCTGCAAGAGAGGTGGGGAAGGCATGTCTGAGATTAGTTGAGGCAAGTTAGAAAATGATAATGGGGGAAAAGGAATATGTGTTGGTGTAAGTGTTGATTACAGTGAGCGTTCATGTGAGTGGTATCAACTGTAAAACTGCAACATGGATCATGCATGCCTGAAGCCCGATGTGTCGGCACTGGTTAAAGTAGAGTAATTGGTTGGAGTTGTAAAATGAAATGCGATGCTATTAATCTTTCAGCTGTCTTAAACCTTGTGTATAATAATAATACATAATACAAAACAAAAGATAACCTGATAACTGCATTGCAACAATAATCTGGAGAGGGTAAGCGGCCGCCCTCGAGCTCTTCTCTAGCTCAGCTCACCTTGATGAGGTTGGAGAGGATGTTCTCACACGTCACCCGCATGTCGTTGCGCTGGATGTCCTTGGTGGTGCATAGCACGCGGTACCGGTAGAAGAACTCCTGATACAGCCACCTGGTTGAGACAGAGAAACCTGCTGTCAGAAGGCGAGGGTCTCAGGTGGATACACAATTCAGAGAATGCCCAAATCGTAATGAGAGCTTCCACATAAGCTTTGGAACTAGTGGAAAATCATGATGACCTCCTCGCTTTTTACTATTTTTTCTAGACGTTTATGCGTTTTCCACGAATCAACGAATCAAGATGAAGCTCAGCTGACACCCTCCCGTCACTCGTTCATGATGCGCCTACATTTATGCGCTAACACAAATGACAAGCAATGCCAGTGTGCGCCAGGCACTATTTTCAGACCACCCTCGACAGTTCATCAGACCGAAACCAGCTCAGGTGAGTCCCACCAGACACCTGCTCTCCTACCAATGAAATACCATCGCCCTACGACCTGTCCGGAAATCAGTCAGCCTCGAAACGATCCGCGTGACCCCAGACTGCCACCGACCTCTGACATTCCCGGCTCATACATCGGCGGCCGGCTGGTCGGGCGGTCTGGTCGACTGATGGCAACATTACCGTCGGATTGGAAACTCCATATTTGACGGAGCCAGCCGCCCGGCAGGGATTCAGCCGATAAACCCGCACTGAGGCGTGATTTCGGACTGGATGGATGATTTCAATACAGAACAACAGTGAGTCGGGAATCGAGAAATCCAGCCATTACTTGTGGAACACTGCAACTTCTCTTCCAGCATGTTGCAATGTAAATTGCTGGGATAATGTGATATTGTCAAGACTATTCACCACAAACGTCGTAGCATTCAGCCCTTTTCTGTCACCAGTACCACTGCCTATTCCAATTTATCTGCACATCTCTCTCATCTCTCTCAGCACACACAATACACAGCCGACTGCCCCGCAAAAACCTGCTTGCCCAAATAGACGAACACGCGCAAACCAACACTAAGACCCAGCCAGCAACCCCCAGCCCGTCGTGGCGCCCCCCCCCCCCCCACATACCGACCCACTCCCCTCCCCCCACACACCGACCCCCTCCTGCCCTCCCGGGCACCCACCTGGATGGGAAGCCGGCGGCGCTGATGCGGATCGTCTCCAGCACACCACAGGCCCGCAGCTGCTGAACCGCTCGATGCGGTTCGAACCCAAACGCCTCCTTCCGGTCGTTGGGTTTGATACAGCGCACGTAGTGTGGTGTGGTCGAGTTCAGGGTGGTCATCAGCATACTGAGAGATTCACGGAACTGGGAGCCCACCTGTCAGCCACAGAGGGAAGACAGGGGTCAGCGGCGGGAAGGCGGGTAGTTTAAAGATATTATCAGTGTGTAATTGCAGACGATGGTCATAGGGTAGAGTGAGGACAAAACGAGAGTGACACCAGACACGACCTTGACCGCACCTCAAGGAAAGGTCAGGCAGAGCACGTGTCAGCGTCTACCTACATATTGCATCATCAGGTGAGTTTTGGAGGACCGTGGTAATACATGAAAGCAACGTTTGGCATGATAGGTCGGCATGGTGACACCATCAAAAGGCAAGCGCTCCCACTAGACCCGGCAGCCGACACACTGCGCCACTTTCAGAGAGCTGAGACCCTAGGGGTGGCATTAAACGATCACCCGGAAATTGAGACCGACTTCCTAATTACAAAATGAGGGCGGCGGAGGTCAGATAAGTGCTACAGCGACAGACGAACACATTTGAGACGCAAGTTAATTAAACGTCACAGATTCAGCGCAAAAGCTGACAAAACTTGAAATTCACAAGGTCTGCCAAAGCAGCAGCTAACACGTTTGTTGTAGGGAAGTCTCAATTTCATTTCATTTCAAGACACTTCTACACTTACTGCACTTCACAACTTGTTAGCTCAGAACATGACCGACAAGAAACAGGCGACTACCGTCTCCGAACTCACCGTTTTCTTGTTCTGGGTGGCCGGCTTGCCTGCCGCTGCCGCCTTGACCGGTACCAGTTTACCGGCGGGCTTCTCGGCCGCGAACAGCCCAGACACGACCGGGTCCTGTCGGGGACGGGAACACACTCAGTCAGTACCAGCTGATACCACTGAGAGCATCTCATGCAGAGTTAGGGTCAAACAGCCCAGACACGACTGGGTCCTGTCGTAGACAGAACACACTCAGTCAGTACCAGCTGATACCACTGAGAGCATCTCATGCAGAGTTAGGGTCAAACAGCCCAGACACGACTGGGTCCTGTCGTAGACAGAACACACTCAGTCAGTACCAGCTGATACCACTGAGAGCATCTCATGCAGAGTTAGGGTCAAACAGCCCAGACACGACTGGGTCCTGTCGTAGACAGAACACACTCAGTCAGTACCAGCTGATACCACTGAGAGCGTTTCATGCGGAGTTAAAGTCAAATAGCCCAGACACGACTGGGTTCTGCACGAGATATGAACACTGACTGTCAGTACTATAGTTCGTTTTTTTTTTCAAAAGGACGCTGGCTCAAAGTTCAATAGCGAAGCTCTCACGTGAGTTTTGGCAGCTTCAGTGTCTGGCCAAGAATTTCTTACCGAAAAAATAAGCGATTTCAAATTGTGCACGGTAAGTAGCTGGAAACTGTTTCTTAAAAATGAACATACTATGATGACGTCACTGGTGGCAGCAGGCACCCAAATGTCCGTGCAATGGGACAAGTGTCAACGAATTTGGGTGAAACTTAGTTTTTCACTGTTGTCGAGCCTATCGAGTAAGCGGTTTCATCCATGATAGTTATACGTTACATTGCAATACGTGTTCGACAGCATGACGTCACCACTGTTTTCATATCTGGTTCCAAAACGCACATATGGAAATTATCGGGAAGAAATCACATGTTAAAATTAGTCGACGTTCGATTTTCTCAGGTTCAGTTTTTGCTCGTTTTGCTCGCTAAAACACGTGCTTGTTCGAAATACATACTTGGAGCCAGCGTCCTTTTGAAAAAAAACGAACTATAGTTGATTCTGGAGACCAGCCGACCAAGGATCACCTGACTGTCTGAGCACACTGTAAGATTTCGGGATAGTGAATCAATCAAATGGAAAGGAATGTAGTATAGCGAAAAGCGAACCTTTTCCCCCTTGGGATTATGAAATAGTTCATCTACCTACTGGCCACCATATTGCTCATTAGTCCCTAATTTTCCCCACGACCACTCACCAGACTGGCCCTCAGCACGTTGATCTGCTCCTCGAGCACGGTGTCCCGGTTCTTCTCCAGAAATCCCGCCGACTCGTACTCCACCTTGTCGGCGAAATGGACGATCACGTAGGCCGTGTTGGAGAGGCGCGGCTTCTCAAAGTGGTCCGACTTGCGACACTTGTCATACAGTTTCTCCACCCACGAGTGGTCCGAACCCTTCGGCATCTGCAATAAGCGGACAGAGTTTTGGTGGCGTGGCAAACAAGTTAAAGGGGAAATTATGTACTACATTATCATTTCACGTGTTTCCATAGGCGGCGGAACGGGGGGGGGGGGGGGCACCGGGGCACCGTGCCCCCCTTGAATTCTGCAAGGGGGGCACCAATAGCAAGGTGCCCCCCTTAAATTTGATGTATTAGTACCAGGGGCGGATTCGGGAAAACTCCAAGGGGAGGGTCATGAATCGAATGGTGTACCCAAAATTATACCTATACCCAAAATTAAAACCTCAACGGATTTCGGCCACTTAATTTTGGTGGTGCCCTATTTTCAGTTTTTTTTATTTTCTTTATCTTTGGTTAGTCATGTGATGACTGGTGCCCCTGGAAAGACTGTGGTACCTACCTACCCTGCCCCTTGACAAGCCTACGGTGGGCCCTGACATGACTTAGGTGCCCATGGGCCCTGACAGGCTCGTGGTGCCCCTGACAGGCAGGCCTGTGGTGTCCTTGCTAGGTCTGTGGTGTCCCTGGGCCTTGGCAGGTCTGTGGTGCCCCTGGCGAGCCTTTGGTGCCCCTGTTAGAACGCAGGTGCCCTTGACAGGTTTGTGGTGCCCCTGACAATCCTAAAGTGCCAACAACAGGCTTGTGCCCTTGTTGGCCCATGGTGCCCTTGCGAGGCCCATGGTTCCCCTGCGAAGCCGATAGTGCCCCTGGCAGGCCTCTGGTGCCCCTGGCAGGTCTTTGGTGCCCCTGGAAGACCTGTAGTGCTTTTGCTAGGCCGATGGTGCTCCTGACAGGCCTGTGGTGCCACTGACAGGCCCGTGGTGCCCCTGCTAGGCCTGTGTTACCCCTGGCGGGCCTGTGGTGCCCCTGTCGGCTGTCAGGCCTGTGGTGCTCCTTGCAGGCATGTGGTGACCCCAGGCCCTAAGTCATGACCCATGTGACCTCCCCCCTGGGATTCGCCACCGATTAGTACTGCGATGGCTTCTTGGGAATTTGATACATGCAGGATGAATGGAATTTATCAAACGACAATAAGGAAGAGACAAACACATAGGTACTAGAGGATCAGCTTAAAGTTAGCCACACATACGGGGGTGAACTGCCATTTTCGTTTAGTAAAAAAAAAATAAAAAAAAATTAAAAAAATCATCGTGTCAGGGCTGTGACGAAAAATAAGTGGCCTAAATCCGATGAGAAAACAGGATTTGGGGGTACCCTAGGTTTGGCTCCTTGAGCTGGTGCCCCCCTCCCCCCCCCCTTGTCTCAAATCGTTCCGCCGCCTATGCGTGTTTCAAGTTGACCGGCTCATTAAAATCACAAAGGCACCGGGAGAAACCGATTAAAACCACAACATTATGCGTCAAACAACAAAACACTCAACCTGTATGCCTAGTTGGTAAAAGTTTCATTAACAAACACTAGCCCAGTGCAGCAAACTCGAGCACATCAGTATCCCAACAGCTAGCTCCTCTCCCCATCCGCAATAACAAACCTCTCAACGTTTTACCTCAAACTCCTTCTCTCGCGCAAAGAAATAGTGCCGGTAACATTAGCTACATCAAACCTCTCGGTGTCTCACCTACCTAACAATCGACCTGCCTTATCCTAGCAATCAGCAGCACTTAGAGGAGCCTCTTGGTTTAACTCATCTTTCACCCCCTTACCCAAGATCAGCACCAATCTCCCTAACCGCGGAACTGAACCCTTCAATAACACTTACCCTACACTCATTGAGCAGATTGAGTACGCCGAGCCGCGTCTCAATCAGAGACACAGTGTCTGGTTTGTGCTACATCAGTGACGCAGTGTTACATGTGAATACCCCAGGAATTAACAGCCACCGATCCCTCAGCAGTCGTTTCCCAGACATTTATCTTACCCTACACTCCTCGTCGAGCATCCTACACTCAGCCTAGACTCCTCGTCGAGCATCCTGCACTCACCCTACACTCCTCGTCCAGCAGGTCGAGCACTCCGAGCCGCGTCTCGATCAGGTCGATACACGGCTGGTTGTCGTAAAAGTCGATAAACGTCCACTCTATCTGCTCCTTCACATACTCCTCCTGCTCCAGTTTAAACACGTGCTGGCCGGAACAAGAACGCAGTGTTAGTTACAGTGTTGAATAATACGGAGAGAAGTCAGGAATGAGTTTTGACGTATCTAAAGGAAAACGAATTAAAAACGGGTGTTCAGCATTCAGGCTCTCCGGGGTTTTCAATTGACAGTAATGCGGACTATGGGGGACTATCGAAAACATGGAAGGCGATTGTGAAAAAAACAGTTAGTGAGCAACGTAAAATGCGAGCCGTCTCAGATTGTTGTGCGGAATACCGTATCATTCAAAATTCGATTTATCGGTGGACAACATGAAAAGCAATAGCTTCACTGAGCCGTCCGCACTATCACGATCACCTAACGATCCTCCCCTACCTGGTTGAATTGCTGTTGCAGCTTTTCATTGGCATAGTTGATGCAGAACTGTTCGAAGCTGTTGACCTCGAACGTCTCGAAGCCGTAGATGTCCAGCACGCCGATGAAGCGGTGTACCTTCTCCCGAGTCTCCAGGCTCTTGTTGATGCGTGACACGATGTGGGAGAACACCTGGGCGTAGATGTGTTTGGCCAGCGCGTCCCGCGACGAGGTGGCCTGTGGAGAGCAGGGCAGAGGGCGTCAGAAAGGCAATGGTGTCAGAATAGGGCGCAGGGGATTGGAAGCCAATGTGTGAAATTTTAAGTGCTCGCTATGCCGTTTAGCAAACAGACTAGCCACTCCACACCTTTACTCCTAGCAGTCTAACCGCAAACAAGGACCATCCTCAGTTCTCTCCTAGAGTGCCGAGGACTGTCACCGATCAGGTTACTCACCTCCTTCAAGTTCATGCTCTTGGTGAACGTCTCTCGCATTGAGACGATCTTCCTCTTGCAGAGCCAGTGCCGGATTTGCTCGTGGTCCACGTTCAGCAGACGGGCCACCACTGGAAGACATTTGTCGCCTTTCTGCAGAGGAAAACGATGGCAAAAGGTATCAGTGGGACAATATATTTTGCCTAAGGGGTGTGTGGGTAGAAAAAGCGACGGTTATTTGTCGGACGTAATACACGAGCGCGATTCACTAATCTACCCGATTTTTCGGTCACTGCTTGTTCTCGAATATGGCCACCCACTTCTAAATGCCAGATGCCATCACAACAAGTCAGTTGCCTAATTCTTAACCACATCGCGCAAGATTCCCTCTAATTCTATATCTGCAGCAAGCCGAACCTCCCACCACCCTCATCCACCCACCCTACCCTTCGCAGTCTCTTCCCCCCCCCCCTCCCCAGCTCCCTGATCGCCAGTCCGCTCCGTACCGTCACACTGCACGCCTCCTCGCCCCCGGCCATCTCCTCCCTGAACTGAACATTGCCCAGGTGAAGGACGGCGGCCAGCGTGCGGAACAGGGCCGTCTGGACGCGCCGCTCCAGACCCAGCAGCGTCAGAGCCTCGCGCGTCTGATCGAAACAGCGCGCGTCGTCCACACCGGCGATGGTCGGCGAGCCGCCCTGGTTCAGGTAGAAGAACTCGTCCTGGTGGCCTGCGGGAGAGGGAAGAGGAGATTAATCAACCCTGTGTGAAACTGTTTTATAGTTCATGAATGCGGTATGTGTTTATTTCAATTGAATACATAACCCTACGCTATGTTTGTCAAATCCATCAAGTTCGATTAAAAAGTACAGGTACACAAACAACTTAAATGTAGCTCAGATGGAAGTTACATCGAAACCCTTCGTTCTTCAATTTTAAATCTAATTAAGAAAACAAATCTGTTTAGAGCTCCGTTCCTCGACTATCATCTGCCACTGCCTCTTTTTTTTTTTTGTCTGAACTTCATTTCTGCACACACACTACGTACTAACACACACCCGCAGTGCCAGGACGGTACCTACCGAGCTCGAGTTCCTGGAACTCCTCGCGGTCGGCAACGCTACACAGCTGGTAGAAGATGTGATAGTTTCGCTCGTCAGCCGCCTGAAATACCACGCGCGACTTTTCCAGCAGGTAGGTGCGCATGTTGGCCGCCGAGATGTGGTATGACTTGTTGAAGTCGATCTCGATGAACTTGCCTGCCGCGAGGATTGTGGTAAGTGGATTAGTTCAAAATGCTAGGAAGCAGTGCGATTAGATAATAAAAACAGCATACAAATCCCCGAATGCTCCATGGTCGATGTCACTATGCAAATGAATAATATCATGGATCAACATCAACATCCGCCGTCAACTTGAACTTAAACACCTTACGATATTCTTTTTTAATTCAGCGAAGACGAATCGAAAAATGTAACATTTGCCAAAGCCGAAGTCCTCTAGAAGCCAATGGCGGACATAATTTGTGGTGAAATTGGTGCAGTAGAATCAGAAATGAATGTAGAATAAGTTGGTATCTGTCTAGTGTCTCATACCCCTACTTTGTATATGAAAGAAGTTAGAGCCCACCAAGTTTTAGATTCATCTCTAGGGTGTGCGCAGGGTGTGCCCAGCCAAGATACCTATGCCCAGCTGACTGCGGGTCCAAAGATGAAAATTTTGTATGCGTATCCTGCGTAACTTAGACAAAAGCGAATTGCAGAGGTAGTGTTTAATTTGCGCAAGATAACACTGCAAAACTGTATCGTACTAGTCCGCTTCAGTCTCTCACCGAAGCGACTGCTGTTGTCGTTTCGGATGGTCTTGGCGTTCCCGATAGCCTCCATGATGGGGTTACTGGCCAGCACCTTCTTCTCGATCTGAGTCTCCTGCTCGGCCGAGCCGCCCACGGTAGCGAAGTAGCGCATCGCGTACTTGGCCGAGACCGTCTTCCCGGCTCCCGACTCGCCCGAGACGATGATGGCCTGGTTGGTGTTCACCCTGTCAGAGAGGTGAGTGGTTATAGGGATGCGGTGTGGTGAAGAGCGAGTGTTACGGCGGTCGAACACTTGGTCGGAAGCGTGTCTTCGCACTTCGTTTCCATCGCGCATCCCTACTCCTGAGTCGCACACTATCACACCGAAATCGCTTCAACAGCGTCCCACCCCACCCACGAAACACGCCCGAGCGGACCACAAAGATCAAACCACCTCCCTCTTCCGAACACCCGATCGGATCGTTACTGGGTCCTCCCCCTCAGGGCCACATGGGCAGGCTAGTGACATCTCTCTCGCCCACCTTTCCATCTTTGTGTAGGCCTCCTCTGCGACGGCGAATATGTGCGGGTCCAGGTCACCCATGGCCTTCCCGCGATACGCCCAGATGGTCTCCGATCCATAGATGGGCAGCTCCTCGTAGGGGTTAATGGCGACCAGCACAATACCTGCAAACAGTGCAACAAGTGAGTGTAGTGAGTTTCGCTGCCACGTATCTGACATACAGGGTGTCCCATAAGTTCCTTCTCACCTATATTTTTCTTTTAGGGGCTCTCTTATTTAAAGCCACGCTTAATTTATTTTGTAACTGAGCTTTTGGGGTTGCCATGGCAACTGTGAATATGCTCCACGGTAACTAATTCGTCTAGACAAAATGTTTTTTGCTAGAGAATTCACTTCCTGTGGAGACGGCTTACGCCGCAACATAGAGGTCTCCGATACGGGTACGTCTCGGTATTTAGTCCGCACGTGGGCCATTCGCGACGGTTGAGGGTGATTTAGGCCATCCAGTCTGTAGCCAATGTCTGTCGCTAACTGGACGCACAGTCTTAGCGTTAGAAAGTTGGTAAGCAGGCTTTTCAGGATGGATTACCAGCTGTCTAAGAGTATTATTTCGGGGTACACAACTCACGGTCACTTGGGCTTAAACTTAACGGAGGACGCAAAACAGTCGAAAATGTCTTAAAATGGCCAAACATTTGTTTCGTTATGCCTGAGGCTAAAAAACTGCAGGGCCGATGACATCAATGTGGTCATCTGGACTACTCAGTCCGTGTCCGAGATAAAACACCCGTCCAAACCCCAAAACGGTCCCATATGAGCGACGGAAAAGGCCTTCGTGTCATCACGCTTTATTCCTATGCAAAAGGCCAGGGTCACGGTAATGTGGGGTAAAATGCGTCCAGACGCTGAGCAGGTTCCGATTGATACTCCAGAAACAGTGTCGGGGACGCAGAATGCTTCACCAAGAGTATCTTGGAGGAGTTTCAGCCTTCCAGCTTAACTCGAACCGCAATTATGAACACATTTTTTTAGGAGAAAATGGTATCCGGGAGGTCGTAGGCCCATCTTCAAGCAAGACAGTGCATCAGTGCAGAGGCCAAGCAAATCTTAAAAGCAGTGTCAGGAGACTGTGATAGGCGTCTGTGGCAAGATCACATCCCAGGCAACTCATCGGATCCAAATATCATAAAAATGTGTTGGAAATATTGAATCGAGGCTCGTCGAAGCGAAGCGGTGTTCCAGCCTCGAGGAGCTCACGGCGCATGTCAAGATAGTCTGGGCTAACTTCAAGCCTGCTATGCTGCCAAACATGCCGGTTGGCATGCCGCAGCATGTAGGGTAAGGGCGGGTAAGAGTACGCGGGCGATAAGAGTACGCATCAGCTGTTTCGGTTGCTTAGCAACGCGGGTTTGTCGAGTTCATGAAGTGACATGAAGCCGCCAGTGCGTGCTTGTCACCAACGGAAAGTGGGCGTTGAGCGGCGACGCTGTTGAGTTTAAGGCGATGAATATTGTTTTCGAGTGTTATGATGTTATTATGGTATGGTGAAATAATTTTGATACTTGGCAGTTGAGATAAGGTACGTTTCCGTGATTGTTGTGGGAAACTTGTGAGGTTATCTGGGGAAATACTGTGCAGTGCAATATTCTGTTTGCGAAGTTTTGCATAACGTTTCGGGGTTGTTTTGTGCGCGAATTGCATGTACGGTAAGAGGACGCACTGTTCAGGAGGGTAAGAGTACGCAGAATTATACATTAAATCGAATATACAGAAATATAAAATTATTAATCTATCGCTCAATGACGTTTGTTTTGTAGGTATATCATCAATGGTGCACTGTGATGCAGATGCGTACCCGAAATTCTTCCAAATACGAGTTATTCTCCCTTTTGATTGTGTTTTTTAAGAAACACACGACATGATTATTTCCTGATTTATAGACTTGAAAGATTTATTTTATGTTTTTCTTTTTGGATACTAGAACTAACTTAAATGCCTTCTGAGTTTGAAGTTAAGCATTTGGACAGTACAAGCTGCATAGGTGTGTGTTCATATGCTTGCGTACTCCACCCGCCTGGCGTGCGTACTCTTACACACCCCATATGGTAAGAGTACGCAACTGCAGTGGTTCAGAAAATGTCAGTTTTAGACCACTTCCATTTACGCTGAAGGATCGTTGCCCCATGGGTTGATGGCTAATTCAACGAACTTTAATATTTCCTATTTGCGAGTTCTTTCTTTCAAATATTAAACAAATGAGAGCAAGAAATCCACTAAGTGCGTACTCTTATACGACTTCACCCTATTCATGTGTTTGTCCATGAAATGGGGAGCACATTGAGGGGTCATAAACATATCAAAACGCAATGTACTCTGTTGTACATGCAAATATAAGGTGAGAACGAACTTATGGGACACCCTGTAGTGAGTATCGTTGTCACGCTTTGTAGTATGTGACTGGCGAGTTTTGCTGTCACGTAGCAAAGTCATACCACTAGTTCTGCAAAGATCCTCAACGTCAAAAGTTCGTTCCACATTATAACAACTACGGGCTATATCATCAGAGCCATTGTAGGCACCGGGGCAGGCTGGCGGTCGCACCATAATAGCATGACCTTTAACCAGCCCGGTGATGGCGCTAACCGTGGGACGGCTTGGTCGGGAGTCGGGACCATATGAACGCCGCTGTAGTTGGGATGAAATACGACCGACCAGAACCGTCAAATGGCTTCCATTGGACGTCATAACGGCGAACAGCGACGGAACAGTACTTATTATGGTCAGCATTTTCGCGTTACACAATTTGTGGTTGGTTTTACTTTGCGAGCTAATTGAAGAGACAGACGATCAGAGTACTGTGCGTTGGTTACTGAATGGTCCACCGGTCTTTAATTCCAATGTCATCGAACAAGCTGGGCGATTAGAGGCTTCATAAAATGTCCGCATGAGGCAAGACGTGAATTGTGGATGAGCTATGTGAACTGTATATGTAGTCTATTCATCTCCAAAACATCTACGCCCTACAGACACATCTTCCCACAATGCAGTCACACTGCCAGACACCTAGAGCCCCGCCCCCTGTCCCGATCCCCCCTGACAGCTATCAGTCGCCGCTGTGCCAATCGCCACTGTTCAATGTGCCGCGGTATCTGGCCGCCAGAGACAGGGATGTGTACACAGCGCGGCACGCGACAGTGTCCGACGGTCCGACCCCGCCCCCCGTTCGGTGACTCATCTGTCAATGCTGACATGTAGAGGACTCAGAGAGCCAAATCGAACAAGTTGTCACGGGAGAATGAGCTAGATGAAGGGAAGTTCACACATTTTTAACGTATAAGTGACTGATGTTTGAGCAAACATCGGCAGCTGGCCAGTTTCAGAATGAATCTCATGCAAGCCTGCAGCCGTTATTGATACATACATAACGATTTATACAGAACGTCAAATCCGTGTGCTGTCAGCACGGAAAACCTGTTGATTTTGACCACCCGAAAGCTCAGAACGCAATTTTCCAAATCACATCAGTATACCGTCAATGGATATCAACACCAGCTTTGCCGATGACAGTGCAGCGCCTGATAACCACAGCCTGCAAGGCGACGGCGAGAGCTCTGTGCAAACCCACAGTGGCCTAACTGATCTTAATCTCGCGGTCACACAGCTACCTTGCAGCACCGGCGAGGCAGCGTGACATGGCATGCGGGTGGACACTGGACAGTGGACAGTGACACCGCATGAAAGCCGGTTCAACGATACCACCGCGTCAGCCTTGGACAAAGTTACCGCTCAATCAGTGATCAATCATCGACAGGAGGAAATCAGACCTCAAACTACGCCTACCATTTTTACTTGGGGTTGGGAGCGCTAAAAATAGACCGGTGATAAAAGCATAAGTCGTCAGAAAGGTGTCATTTATTGAGCAAAATGTTACTTTCTTTCATCGAGATACACACGCAATGTGTGTTTATACGATGGCCCCAGGTTAGAGTTACCGAAACGATGTCACAAAACTTTTACGGAGTTCAAATCGCACATGAAACAGGATCCAGGAAATCAATCCTTTCGTCCACCCCCACCGCAGTTAGTTGTAAAGGGCATTGAGCAAAGAAGTACTTGCTTGGCTTCGAATACCGTCCAATGAACTCGAAGCCAGACGTCGTGTAAGATCAACGCATTGCAAAGGATCCTTACAAATTACTAGAAAATAAAACTAATGAATGAATGAATGTACGAATGAATACATGAATGAATGACTGACTGACTGACTGACTGAATGAATGAATGAATGAATGCACGGACAAAATAACAGACTCAACTGACCGTGTTTCTTCTATTATGAGAAGCATTTACTGATTAAATGACGATGATTCACCCGTATCCACTATGTCTACACTACGTGCTTCAATGAAGCGCGAATCCCCGATTAAGTGACAAGACAAGTGCGGGTTTATCTGGTATCAGTAGAGATACCAATCGTCCACGTGCTATAAATGCAAATACTGAACCGATTATAACGATTATCGATGGATGCTAAGCAAGCAAGATTAGCTCTGGGGATCCTGTGTGAAACAAAGTACAAAGGGTGGCTGAAATAAGTAATGCAGCTTGTTGTGCGACAATTCTAAAAATGATCAATACCTAGCTTGCACAAATACCAGTCACACAAGCATATGATGGCAAAAGACTGATGCAGAACATCAGATCATGAATGGCGAATCAACAAGAGAGACTATTTGCCTGAGCAGCACGTTGCCTGGCTTCACCACCTTCATTTCGTAATGGCTCAGACTGTTTTTGTCGAGTCAACGACAACAAAAGTGAAGACTGAATAGTATGTATGATATTGTAGCGAAATATTCACTTATCTCCGCAAAGAAAGAGTCCAAAGGTAGTGTAGTCCGGAGGTCGTATATCGAACATAATAGCGAGAAGCGGTAGCTGTGTGCCGAAGACTATTGCTCATGTCCGCTATTCATAGGGTTCATCAGTACCCAAGCATATGGAAGTGTCCCTCATAATGAAGATGAGCTACCACAGGCTGAACCCATAAATCAGAGCCGCGCAGTGTGAGCAATCATTAGTCGTAAAAATAAACAAAAGTGCACTATACAACGCCGTTAAGTATCACAGTGTCAGCAGACTAACACATCATTCATCTCCAGAAAAGGGCCATAAAGTACACCATATATCATATATAGGACTCGGACCTCACACGGGACATTATATCCAACCCTGCCACAGTGCAGCATTCTACCGTGTGCCAGAGCGTCACGATTTGTTTGTTTGTTGGGGTTTAGGGGCGCAGCAAAGACATGGACGGCGACGTCATTGTGCGCTTATAATTGTTATTTTGTTACGATCTCATACAAGGTGCTGGTTCCACCACTGACCGCAGTATGTGTAGATGGAGCCGTGGTTGGCGAAGCGCACGCGCAGGTTGTACAGTACGGCCGGCTCGTGCAGGTACGACAGACTGGTCAGGTCGTTCTCGCCTATCAGGATGTCCGGGTTTCGCAGAGGTGGCAGCTCCGAGTCGTCCTTTACCGCCAGCTCCCGCTCCTGAGGACGAAAGGGAACGGAGCAAACGGGTATAACGGGGCTTGGCTTCGAGTCATCATTTTGTTTGTTTTGTTGGGTTAGGCCCTTTCGGTCTGACAAGACCATTGCAGAGCCGGAAGGATGATAGGAATTAGGGGGAGACATTGGTCTGGGCAGGCATCCTAGTGAGTCGCCGGGGCTGAGCCCGTCCAGAGGACAGGCCACCCAGCCCCAAGGCACTCACTGCACCCGGCTACGGGGTGCGCTCCCTCGGGAGCAGCGGTGCCGCTCCAAGGGAGCAGCCCGCATGAGATAAAGTTGCCTGCCCAGCCCGGTAGGGGGTTGTGGCGTGGAGGAGAAGGATTTCAGTATCCTGAGGATAGAAGCACGGACAGGTGAGAGAGTCATCATTTACCGTCAGCTCGCTCTTGGGACGCAGAGGAACGGAGTTGATGGGGAGTTGAAGGGGATTTACCGAGAGTGGAAAGGTTACACTCACGGTATCTCGGGGTCATAACGAGGTTATCACTGGTGCATGATTTGCGTTTCCAGAGTCGCCAGATTGCATCCGTCATCGGTGCCCAGAATTACAAGGAGTAGCGAGCAAATTATAAAAGTCACAAGAACTGCAATGTAAAGTAATGGGGATCATGACTCCATAACTGCATAGAGACGACGAGGGCTTGACAGCGGTACCAAGGGGGGGGGGGCTGAGTCGACCGGTAGGTGGGGCGAGGAGGTAGCGAAGGATAGCTGGACGCTGTGGGAGGTGGGATGGATATAATGGAATAACGGTGCTGTGGTTGGCGAAAGGCAAAACAGGATCCATAAAAACCAGAGGATAAAAAAGGAAATAAAAGCTCACATTGCTAGGATCACAGAACTATATACGTGACCAAACAATTATTGCCATAACGTTTCTTACAATTCGGACATAACGACACAAACATTGTCCAATATAGACAAATTAGTGATATGATGAACTACACTGAAGATACCCGACAATACAAAAAGAGCGAGGGGAATATTTCAAACTCACATTTCAAACTAAGTGTCGAGAGACAGTCATATGTGCCAGATCAGTCGCTCATTACCACGGTGCCGCTGACGTTGTTCTGAAAGTCGCTGACGTCAGTCACTTACCTCTCCTGAGTCCTCGAGCTCGACAGTGAGCACGTCCTTGACATAGTCGGACTTGAGGGTGGCGCCTCTCCACACACATTCGGGGTCGCGCACCCATACCCGGGCGCCCTGCGAAAAAAAAGAATAGGTAATGTCAGGACCTGAGGGTGGCAGCACCTCGCCACGCGCAGACTGAAACCCGCGGGTCGCGAACAGCATTCATTCATACTAAGGTGCCCTGTGGAGAAGAGCTGTCAACTGTCACGAGCCACTATCAACTGTCAGCAAAATTTCACATTCTACAATACTCATCGGGCATGCACAGCAGAGTCATGTCAGCCAAAAAAATTGCATGTGACAACATAATGTATGGCAGCTTTAGGCTGTGTCATGTCGTGAAGCCGCTTTACACAAGTGTCAAGCGCGCTGAATTCCAACGAATTCGTTCATTGGAATTCAGCTCCAACATCCGCTCTAGACGGGTACTGAAAACAATGCATGCCTTCAGATTCATGCATGCAAGGTGATCGTAATCCATTCATTGATTCGCAAAAGAAAATCCAAGTTTTCTTTTCCTCGAAGGAAAGTACGGACACACATCCCCACACCACCGCCTACTGTCGTCGCAGCCGCACCCCTCGGCGGTCACTCTTTTCGCCCTACCTCCCGCCCCCACATCCCCCCACGATGATGACGCCCGCCGTCCACCGTCCATCGTCCATCGACCATCGACCGACAGGAGGTCCAGCCGACTGGCCAACCCGTCCCAGTACGGTACGGTACGGACCAGTCACAGCCGAGTTTAGTGAATAATAATATGATGGATCGATTATCCCTTATGAATGTTGGAGAAGGTACTGGAAATGCAGTTCAACTTCAATAAGGTCTGTGACCAATGACTAGTTTGAAATTGCTGGATATGTTGTACCTTTCCACATTGCTATATATGCCATTGCTGGCGATGCCGGGTAAGTCGAGAATGGCGAGCGGCGATTTTATTAGGAATAGTAGGCCGCGCAAGATCCACTACGGAGGGAGGGCGGCGCAAGGGAAGGCAGATAGGTGCCAGAGGCAGACGTTGATGATGCTCAGCCGATCATTATGCCCCCATTCTGAGTGATGCCTCAGGGCGCGGCGGCTGAGGACCGGGGTCGGAGATGATCCAGCTCGCCATCACCATGCAGTGCCAATGGGGGCGGGACAGCCGCTCGCCACCGCCCCCGAACGGCAAGCACCTCATCAATTTGTGGCTCTCGGGGGAGGCCGGCCGGTCGCTCAGTCCCGCGCTGATGGTGCGGTACACAGTACACACCTCCCCAGCGCCGCAGTCGGCGCCGCAGCAGGCCACAACAGGCTCCGGGCAATCTCATTAGGGCGCAGTCGGGCGCTTGTCTGGTCAGCATGAACGGACAAGGCAAAGCTCCAGAGTGTCTCCCGAAATACCGACATTAGCCACGTCGTGATGATCCCCAGAATTGTGAACCATCCAGGCTCAGTCGTATATTTGAAACTAAGTCGGCACGGTCCAAAGGGTGGCCCAAGGGCCGATTCCGTGGCTGGTCCATTAAAAGAGCAGGCAGTCAGGTGGCAGCGATGAGCTGAGATGCTGTCAAACCATCGGAGGTCAATCAAAGGATGGAGGGCCGTCAACGGGCAATCGAATGACGTTCCGACGGGCCAACGAAGAGCAATCGAAGGGCTATCCAGAGGCCAGAGAGCACTTGCCAGGTTGAGTGTTATGATCATTGATCACATCATCGGCGCTCTGAGATTCGAGGCAGCGGTGACGCGAGCATGTGATTTTGAGATGGTTAGGAAAGGATATCACGCGGTTCTAGGTGAGGATCTGACATGACTTAGTCACACCACTGCTCGTTAGCGAGATCAATTCGGCGAGCGGGTCGCGAAAAGGCTGGTGTGTGGTGTGGCCCTCATAACACAATGTCGTTACAGCAATGTCACACACTTAGCCTCACGGCTACAGCAGCATTCAGTTCATTCTATCATGTGTGGCACTTCATCCATTTCAATGAGCCCATTCATGAGACCAGGTCGACTAAATTTCATACAGACATGCCGTTTCATTGTCACACGTCAATTGCGCCACTGCCAGTCATACGCCCTTTCATCTCACCATTTCCTCGCCACCACAGCGCATCCAAGTGTCACCCGTTTAAACATTTACCGTTGCTCCTCACCGAGACAGACCATCTCTCCGTTGCCGTTCCATCCCAGTACAGTCCAGGGTGTCCTGGGACGACCCACGCCCACCGGCGACGCCCGGCGCTCCGGCAAGGTCAAGGTGATCGATCGCTGCTCCCGAGTCCCGACACAGGCGGCCGGCAGCCCAGTCCGGCGGCAAACACAGCCGACCAGAGCAGAGCCGAGCAGAGCTGGGTTGCTTCGAGCCGAAAGGCACGGTCCGACGTTAGGACGGTTAGGACGTTGCTGACCCAGACCCGGCCAGCCGCGTTATGCCGCCCGCCCCAGGCACAGCATGAGCGTGAGAGGCTCCGGTCAGCGGCCAGCGGTCTGCAGCGGCCAGCAGTCAGCGGTCAGCGGTCAGCAGTCAGCGGTCAGCGGTCAGCAGTCTGCGGTCAGCGCCGGCGCCGGGTCGGCCCGCGCGGCCTCTGATGACCGCCGTGATGGCACTCAGAGCACGCCGTTCGGTCCGAGCGGCGGCAGTGCCGGTTACTGGGTCAGGCCCGGGTCGGTGCGGCTCAGAGCGAAGAGCAGACGCCATCGATCATCATAGTGACGCCGTAATAACACGCGTACAACACTTACCGGACCACCGCGGAGTCACAACACCCAGCGGCCGGCACAGAGCTGTGAAAACGGAGAACGGAGTAGACTAAACGGAACGAGAAAAGACTTATAAATCGGATCACCTCTACCCAATCAAATGCAGTGCGCTGCTGAGTATTGTGACTATTGGAGTAATGACTGACATGCTCCTCAGTCTTCATTTTTTCAAGGTCGCAGACTTCAGACCCTTCTAACCAAGAGAAGAGCCAATGCACCACAGCCATCGACAATAGCCGACAAGGGCTTTGACCGACAGTGAATGGTGATCATCCCAGGCCGGCTGCGGCTGCGGTGGGCACTGCCCATCCCATTAGTGTCGGGCGCCGCGGGCTGTGCTCGGGCGCCCCAGGCACTGACCGTGGTCGCCGTAATCAGCCCACAGAATCTCTGGCCGTAGAGCCGCCACAGCAGGCCGAAGGAGGGCGTTTCGGGCACCAGCAGAGTCAGAGATGCATTGGCATTATCCAGCGGGCGGCAACCCATGAGGGAAGAGTAGTCAGCCTATCTGCTAGGCGTAACCGGAATTGAGCAGTCAGATTGCCGTAATCGACTGTTCAGCGTGTTAGACCTGCGACGTTACATTCCGGAATAAACTTAGACTTACCGAATTTCTATGCCAGCATGACTTGATATTCGTATTGTCAGCGTCTCACAGGCATCGACTCAGCTCCACATACAGATAAACATTTTCGGAAAGGCAGAAACTTTGCCACCCTGGCACGTTTCCAAACTCCACTGTCTCTCATAACGTGTAACTGGGCAGAAACAAATTGCGAGTGGCGGAGCGACGATAGAAGAGAGCATAACTCTCCGAGTCGCGGATATCTCCGATCTGAAACGACACCAGACGGGGGCACCGCCGCCAACGGGCACAACAAACGGCAGCCGGGCGCCAAAGTTGCCCGCCGCGCCGTGTGAACACACCAAATGATGCACTTCCCCGGGCCTTTTCGATGTGACGCCATACAGAACTGAAGCGGACCTCCATGATGGAACCAATTATGATAATCTGCACGAATTCCACAGAACCGAATCGGGGTCGGCACTCGCAAGAGATTTGTGACACCCAAGAAAAATACGCAACATTTTGCCTACCGCGAACGATAAAAAGTAAAATATTCAACATTCTTACTTGTCGGTCAGTTTGACAAACGATTTCTAAGACCAGCATTATGCCACAAAGCCATCGGACTAGCTAGGAACAGCGGAAAGAGTTACACCTCCAGCGCAGCCCTGGCCTCGGTCCGTTGCAACCGACCGCTGAGTGGCATGATGTAACGGCAAAAGCCCCGGCACCGGCACCGGCTCACCGGTCGACGTTCAAACCTCCCGCCTAGGCTGGCGACCTTGTCTGTTTGATTCGCAATGGGTGGGCGAGCGACTCGGCAGACCGGTTGCGAAGATCACGACTCAAGAAGGGAGGGTGGCTCGAGAGAGCGCGAGCTGAGTCACGGTAGTCAACGGTTGGAGCGGACCGAAACGACCGAACCAAAGTCGTGCCAATGTCGGTAGCAGTGACTGTCATGGACCGGACACGGTGTTAGTAAATCGATCGCGAGCCAAACATCATTATTTGTCGAGTTCGATGCCTGGTGCCTGTCTGGTTGCTGTGCTGAGAGCTCACTGCCTACGTGTAACGAATGAGACTTGAGACCTGAGAAGTGCGGACTACAGACTATATGGGGCGGGTGAACGCACGGTATGGTGACCACTGACCAGGTGTCCTGCCTCGATCGACTCCGACGCCCTTACGGAGATCAATGCCAGAGTCGCATACGACGGACGAAGAGGATGGGGGGGGGGGGAGGGGATCGACAGAGGTGGGATGTCTCTTTAGTGCGTCAGATACGCAGTAACGTGTCGAGAGACAGGCGGCGAGGCAGAACAGCAGACTGACAACTGGCCTGGGAGGCGCAGGCGGTGTCTTTGAGAGTGTGCGTCAGTCATCGTTAGTGTGATAGAATGCAGCAATAAGCCCCACATGACCGTGTACTTTGGAGATCAACTGAGGAGGGAAAATGGGAGTGAGACAAATCACCAGGATTTGGAAAGCATCGCTAAACTAACTACCCAATGAGGGCTCTGAATAAGAGCCCTCATTCGCAGTTGACAGGCATGTGAAGAAGCAATGTCACGACGCAGCCAAGTATTGATAACTGAAGCAGAGACATATAATTATGGACCACATATTTCATTGGTCTTGATCACCGTCAGGTTGCCCGTTGCCGGCATAGAGAATGTTATAGCCGAACAATGAGTCAGGACGCGGTGTTACCGCGGAAGAGCTAAAAGTCACCACAAAATGGCACTGAGAACCCACG